GCACTGGGCACGGAGGGGGGGGCGGGGCACTCGCTGTGGGAAGCGAGGCTGGCGCTGTTTGAAGGCCACGGGTGAATCCAGTGCGCTGATGGCTGGGGGCAGGGAGCATCCAATGGCCGAGTCTCAGGGCTGGGTCCATGTGGAGACTGAATGGGCAGCTGGAGGGGGGAGTTCTGGGAGAGCAGATGAAAGCAGGGGGGGGGTTCCATTTGGAGAGAGGCTCAGCAAACGGGGGTGAGATGGGTGCCCTGGGTTTAAAATGTGAGGCACCGAAAACAGAAGGGAGGGAGGGTTATTGTTGGGGGGAGAGGGGCCCAGGACAGGTGAAGTGGTGAGAAATGGGAGTGGTGAGAGTTGGGGCTCAGTGAGGGTTGGGGGCCAGGCATGTGGCCCCTGCCCACTACCCCCCAGCCTGGGGTCTCCGTACCTGATTGCTGCCTCGGTCTTGAGGCCTCAGCTCCCCCGCCGCCGCCGCCAGGGCAGGCCCAACTGGTGAGAGGCCCGGGAGCCAGGAGCTGAGCTGCCTGACGGACCGGACCGGTTTGCCTGCCCAGTCCCTCCCCTTTCCCCAGCTTGCCAGGCGCCCTCTGCTCTCCAGGCCTGGGGGGGCTGCCCCTGCACAGTACCTGAGCTCACGGATGGAGGGATGGAGGTCACTGGCTTGGTGCTGCCTGGGTGGGACCTGCCAAAGGGCCTATGGCGGCCAGGCCCCAGGCACTTCTGCTGTGAGAGGGAGGGAAGGAGGCCGGGGCAGGGATTGAGCCCAAGCCGGGACGCAATCCCGGGTTCGGATGCCAGTCCCTCCGGGGCCTCGCTGTGTGATCTTGGGCAGGTGACTTCACCTCTCTGAGCCTGGGCTTCCTCATTGCTGAGTGGGCCAGTGTCCGTGCCCACTTCTTGTGGTTGTCAGGGAGTCCACTGAGCAGAGCGTGGGATGGAGCAATGACAGCAGCTAACATGCGGGGACATACTGACCCATTTACCAGGCTGCTGTAAATGCCTCTCATATAATGACGACACATGCAGTGAAGGCCACCAGGGGCCTCACATGGCGGACATGCTTCTCACACACGAGCCCCGTTCTTCCTCATCGCACCCCAGACCTGATGAGGGATCACTGGTTTGTGTTCAGGATCTGCCTCTTGATAGGTGGGTCCCTTTAAGACATCCTTGCAGAGGTGAGGGCGGGGCCAGGGCCGGACAAGAGGAGCCTGATACCATGGGTGCCCCTCTGCTCCCCAGGGTCCTGCTCCCTACACCATGGCTGCCCGGGGAGATGGGTGAGCTGATGGGGACGGGGAGGCAACCACAAACAGCACCCAGGACAGGGGGGCTCAGGATAGAGGACGCCTGTGCCTGGCTGGCCCTCCTCCCCCAGGCCTTCAAGTTGCTTCTCCAGGGAGGGCTTCCTCCCTGTCCTCCAATTCTGGACTCGGTCCCGATAGGGGGCGAGTCCGTGGGGGAACCTCCAGGGTGGGCCCCTGAGCTTCTTAGAGGAGCTGGAGGCCCGCACACAGGGTTTAGCTGAGTAATTGTGATTCACCCGGGAGCATCTGTCCGGCTCTATGCTGGGCAGGGCCGCCACAGGCAGAGGGATCAGGGATAAGTAAACACCCAGGATTCCACCAGGAAGGGCGGTGGGTGGCAGCTCCAAGAGGCTAAGTGGCTTCAGGACACCCACGAGGGAATAGGAGTTTGGAGGTGGCAGAGGGCTGGGCAGCCCGGGAAGGGAATGGCATGTGCAAAGGCAGAGGGCAGGCCAGGGAATGCAGCACCCACCCTCAGCATGTGGCCTGGGGGGCAGGCCAAGTAGGGCCCAGGGCCTGTACTGAGCTCTACAGGGCGCAGGGGCCTTGTTTTAAACCCATCTGGGTCTCACCCGGCCGTGGTTGGCAGCTCCGAGGTGGAGGGACTTGCCCTCATTGGGCAGCAGGTGGCAGAGCCCGAGTGTTCCAGCTGCATGATGCTGCCCATGTTATGGATGTAAGTGGGGGAGGGCGGGGCCGGGCCACTGTCCTGGGGATGACTCGTGTCTGCCAGGCATGTGAAGTGTGTACAGTGTGTGTGTGTGTGTGTGTGTGTCGGGGGGGAATAAGGGGTGTCTGGCCCGCTCCCCACTTGCATCCATTCCCACTCTCGGCCACCTGCACCCCTGGCCCCACTCCCCAGGGAGAGGTCCATGCCGTGGGCCCCACTGGGCAGAGGGCCGCCCCACACGTGTGGATGCGATGGGGTTGCCATGGCCAGGGCCACCCTCCCCATAACAGCTGCGCAAGCTCCAGGACTCAGGCCTGGGGGAGAATGGGGCCCCAGAAAGGGAGGTGATGAGGGGCAGGGAGCCAACACAGGGTGCTCTTCCCCCGCTCCTGCCACAGGCCCTGTGACACAGTCACTTTACAGACACCCCCATCCCCCTAGAGCTCAGAGAGTGACCCCCGTCGTCCACTTGAACTTGTCTCCACACCTGGAACCTTTATTGAGCATCTGCGGAGTGAGTGATGTGTCCAATGGGATCTCGCCACACCAGGCCCAGTGGCGGCTGGGCCCACCCTGCCCCGGGCTGCCCCCACCGCCCTATGACATCCACTTTTTGGGCCCGTGTGATGCCCTGAAGCGGCTGGATCCCCGGCCATGCTCATCACCCCCAGAGTCCGAGATTCCCCAGCAGCGGCCGGGGTCCCGGGGCCGGGGTGGCTGTGAGGGGCCCGGGGCCCGGGGCTCAGGATCTCTGGATCACCACCTGGAACTTACCTGGAAGAGAAGGGCTGGCTTTAGCCTGAGGCAGGAATCTGAGGGGAGAGGCAGAAAGCATCCAAACCGCGCAGGCCCTGCACCAACAGAGTGCGTGGCCTCACTGTGCAAAGTGGGCGACACTCCCACCCGCCTGGCCTGCATCCCAGGGTAAGTGTGACTGAGGCATGGAGGTCAAGCATGTAGGGAAGGGCCTGGCACAGGCCTTTATGGCATGTATTGCCCAGGCCCTCGCCATGGATGGGCCCGGGAGCCTGGCAGAGGGTAAACACCTTGGGGAGGGAGGGTGGAGGACGGGTGCTGCTGCCCTGGTAGGAATGGGCTCCGGGGGGTCAGAACACCGGCACGCAGGCTGCAGGTCCCTGCTGCCTCTGGAGCCCCATCTGGATGACTTCTATGTCTACGCGGGTTTCCACGCTGGGAAGAACATCTGAGACCAGACCAGGCCATTCTGGGGGGTCTCTCTCTGGTCTGGCACATTCCAGGAGGCAGGCTGGGGGACCTCAGGGGCCAGGGGCATGGATGGACCACACCCACTGTGTGGCCTGGCATGTGACTTCCGCTCTTGGGGTCTCAAATTTCCCACCTAAACACGGGGCTCAGTGGCCTGGCCTACGGGAGTAGGGACAGGGGGAGCTCTGGAGCCCCTGCCACACTCAGGGATGGCAGGGGTCCCCCCACTCCCACGACTCACAGGCTGGCAGGGCTGCCACGGAGGCGGTGACCAGGCTCTTGATGCCCAGGGTGCTGAGGGTGCCGCGCAGGAGGCCGCAGGTGAAGGCCAGGAACTGGGGGGCGGGGGGCAGAGGTCACTGTGGGAAAAGGGGAAGCCAACACCCAGGGCCGGGCCGGGCTTCGGGCTTCACAGCGGGGTCAGCCCCTTGGCCTGGGGAGAGGCTGACCTCGGGGTGGGGGTGGGGGTGGGTAAGTAGGAGAAGTGAATTGGGGGTGTGTCCCAGCATCCCCCTACCTTGGGTGCTTCCTCCAGATACTGCAGGCCTGAGCCCATCCGGACGAGCAGGGGGAAGCTGCTGTCCTGTAGGACGTAGGTGCCCTGAGGACAGAGGAGAGGCTGTGGGCCCGGGCAGTGCCTGTGCATTTGCATGGGGGGAGGGGAAGCCAGGGCCCTGGAGGATGCTCTCCGCAAAACCACTGTAGCCCTGGCCAGGGTGGCTCACTAGTTGAGCGTCGTCCCCTGCACCGAAAGGTCAATTCAGGGCACATACCTAAACCCCAGCCGCGAGGTGATGGGGGCCCATGTGGGAGGCAACTGATTGATGTTTCTCTCTCTCTCTCTCCCTTCCCCTCTCTCTAAAAATCAATGAAAATGTCCTGGGTGAGACTGAAAACAAAACAACACGATAGTCATGGCCCATCCTTCAGACTGCAGAAGAGCCCACAGGCTTCCGGGGCCCGGTCACCAGGGGTGCGCTGGCCCTGCCCCTCTGGCCGTGTGACTTCCCCGGGTTGTGGTGAGAAGCTGCAGACCCGGCCTGAGAAGTGGCCAGCAGGGTGGACGACTAAGGGGAACTCGGACCAGGTTAAGACAGGCAGTGTCATGTGAGGCAAGACCGCCAGCTCCGGGACCCATCCTGGAGGCGCATGGAGACTGGCAAGAGCTTCGGCGCCTCCCCAAGGAGGGTGGGGCTGCCCAGGGCTGAGCCCGGTCCCTGCCTCCTTGGCACAGGGTCCCCTTCAGGAGCTGGAGCCAGGAAGCCGGGCGCTGGGCGGGCGCTCACCTGGTGATTGGTGCGGAGGCTGTCCATCTGCTTTTGGAACACGGCCCCCCACAGGTCTTTGCACAGGAACTTGAGGACGTCCAGCTCCTCCCTGAAGGCCAGCATCTCCCGGGGCAGCCTGGGGGGCAGCGGCAGACACCGACTCAGGTGGGGCCAGGGTTGGGGGCCCAGGGCGTGTGTGGGACAACCAGGCTGGGTTCCTGTGGGGAGCAATGCAACCCGCCGCCTCGGTCCCGCTGGGGGGGGGGGGAGCGCAGGAGGGGCCGACTCTCACCTCTCACCCAGGGCTTGGCCCACGCGGAAGCCCATCCCCTCCAGGACCAGCAGGCTCGTCTTCTGTCCCTAGAAGACCAAGGAGGAGAGGCTCAGGGGCACTCAGCCACCTCCAAGGGGGAGCCACCCAGCGAGGCAGCTGCAAGGGGCCCAGCCACCTCTCCAGTTCAGCACTGCCTGTGCCCCTCTGCAGATCCCATCACCCCACGGGGCCAGCTCCCCCTTGCTCCAGAAAAAATGGGGGTATTCCCCACACTCCGCTTTACCCTGCTGGTCAACTCTTTCCTGAGAGCACCCATCACTAAGCACAGCTCCCTGGTCACCCCAGAAGCTGACAGGTTACAGGGTGACCTGTCCAAGGGCTCCAGCGGCAGCAAGGCCTGTGCCTGGCCCGGCCAGCAGGGGGCTGCAAGTCTCAAAACATCAGCCAGGAACCAGGGAAGGACACACCGGCGCTGGGGAGGGAGCTGCTCCCTGAGGGCTGGGGGAAGGCAGTGCAGCCGAGTGGTATTGTGGAGGGCAGGCCGGGGCCTCCCCGTGGGAGAGGCCGAGGCATGGGGAGGGGAACAGCACGGCCGGAGAGCCCATTTGCCATTTTCATTTGGGGTGGCCTGGAGAGAGCTGAGGGTGCTGTCGACATAGAAACCGTCCAAACCTGTAGTGAATTTTTATGTGTTTATTTGAGCCAAACTGCTAATTGCCAGGAAGCAAAATCTCCACAAACAGAAAATGCGCCGGAGAATGACAGTTCCGAAGCTTACCATTAGAATCAGAGGCGGCGGCGTTGGGAGGGTTACAGGAAATCAATCCGTGGGTGGTAGATTTAGGGGGCAGAGGAAGTAAGGGGGGGTGGCATCTCTGGGATTGGTGAAAAGGAAAACAGAGACACATCCCCTTTTACGTTCATGGGTACAGGATAGTAACAACGAGCATTTCTAGCACACACAGACGGTGTGCGGGGAGCGAGACGAGTGATGGATCCCGTGGTCTCTGCCCGGGTGGGTGGGTGCGCCCTGAGGGGTCTGAAAAGGGAGATTTCTCTGACATTTCAAAGGTCTGTTATCTTAGGTGCAAAAAGACAATAGACAGGCTCACTTAAGGTAACTTGTCAGGACTCCGGGGCTGGATGTGACTAACAGCTGTGACTCACTTTAGTTAGGAACTTGGATGTTCAGACCATCCCGCGTGGTCACTTTCACCCTGAACGTTTCAGGTTTAGTATGTGGCCCTTTTTGTTCAGAGGGAGGTCCAGGTTGGGGCATCAGAAATACGTCAGCCTATGGCGGGGAAGCTGAGCCAGAAGAGGTGAGAACCCTGGGGGGCGGCAGCTGCTCCTCAGGAGGCTGCAGTGCCCAGACCTGAGCCCCTCCCCGCCTCCCCTCGGGCCCCGCCTTCCTTTGGGAATGACGGTCAGTGGTCAGTCTTCTCTCGGGGCCCCTGCTATCACGGAGCCCCCTGCGTGGTGAATGAGATGACGACCGGGCCTCCTCAGCAGGCTTCACACCGCCTTCTGGGACCCAGCCCTGCCTCCGCCACCTCCACCCCCGCGACACACTTCCACTCACTGTTCCCTCCGCCCAACTCCTGCGAGCCTTCTTATGGGCTCTCCTAGGGCAGGTGTGCAATCAGCCCTGCCA